CCACCTGTGCCCGGCTTTTGTTTTTAATCCAACAACTAGGAAATGACTCATAATTTTAACAGATTTCATATAAGGCTGTATAAATATATGAAGACCATTAATTCCAGGCAAAATTAGATTTCTGTAGCCTCAATCTCTAAAGGGGCCCTTGTTCTTTCAAGTTAAAACCAGAAAAATAACATGTTATTTTTTCCCATGTTTGGGATTGGTAGACCTCTATTTGGGGCGGGTGTGGAGAAGGCATTAGCATAGTTTCAACTTAACCTTTAATGCTTGCTAGTTTACTAAAGATAGTACTGTACCAGTGAGTCAGGCCTCAGGCTCAGCTTTTTGCTGGTTATTTTGGTGATGGAATCTGATAGCTTTTGATCCTCTGGATCTCATAACTAAATAGATTTGTAGGTGAGAGGTAGGTACCCAGTAAGGATGCTGTTTATTTATTTATTTATTGGTCAGTCGTGGGGCTTGAGCTCTGGGCCTGAGCACTGTCCCTGCACTCTTCAGCTCAAGGTGACCGCTCTACCACTCTACCTCAGCGCCACTCATTGGAGATGAGTCTTACAGACTTTCCTGCCTGGGCTGGCTTTGAACTGTGATCCTCAGATCTCAGCCTCTTAAGTAGCTAGGATTACAGGCATGAGCCACCAGCTCCCGGCTTGGATGCTTTATATTTATATTGCTGATACTAGGTATTGAACTCAAGACCTAAGTGCTGTTCATTAGCTTTTTTGTCCCACTTCTAGCTCTCTTGAGTTTAACTGAGACAGAGTCTCTTGGACTTTTCCTGCCCATGCTGGATGCTGGCTTTTGATCACTATCCTGGTATCAACCTCCTGAGTAGGATTACACATGAGAACTACTGGTGCCCAGCTGGTATTCTTTTTTTTTTTTTTGTGGGGGTCCGGTCGTGGGGCCTGAACTCTATGCCTGGGCGCTGTCCCTCAGTTCTTCAACTCAAGGCTAGCGCTCTACCACTTGAGCCACAGCGCCACTTCTGGCTTTTTTTTTCTGCTTATGTGGTGCTGAGGAATCGAACCCAGGGCCTCAAGCATGCAAGGCAAGTGCTCTACCACTGAGCCACCTTCCCATACCCCAGCTGGTATTCTTAAAAACAGCACATTCTTAGGGCTTGGGGGCATTACTTATACGGTGACTACTTGCCTAGCACGTAGTTATCTTCACTTACCACTAAATAGCAACTATTTTTTTCTCTTAAATTTGATAATAGCTCCCCTTTATATAATTCTGTCAGTCTTTACAGAATTTTCTCTGTGAAAGTAAAAATTTCTGTTAGTGTTTGGGAAGAGTTCCATGAAAACACTGTTACTACAAATATAGGCAAAATATGGAGGCAGGTTACAACATACAGAACTGGAATACACAAATAGGGTAGTAGTTGGGCACTAGTGTGGCTCACACCTGTAATCCTAGCTACTTGGGAGGGTAAGATCTGAAGATTGCAGTTCAAAGCCAGCCCAGGCAAGTGAGCCCATGAGACTATAAATTATCAGAAAACCAGAAGTGGTGCATGGCTCAAAAGTGGTAGAGTGTTAGCCTTGAGTGAAAATGCTCAGGGACAGTGCCCAGGCCCTGAGTTCAAATTCAGTGACTGACCAAAGGAAAAATAGGGTGGTGGAAAGTGTCCTTTTGCAGTGTCGCATAACATCATGTTATTTTTTTACAGGCTCCCACAAAGGCCGCACCTAAGCAAAAGATTGTGAAGCCTGTGAAGGTTTCTGCTCCCCGAGTTGGTGGAAAACGCTAGTTTGGCAGATTAGATTTTGAAATAAAGGTCTATCTGTAACTCTAGATTGTGTTGGATTCTTTCACTTAAGCATGTTGAGCCTACATGGTTAATAGGTGAAATATAGGGCTGGGAAGGTGGCTCAGTGGTAGAGAACTTGCCTTGCATGCCTGAGGCCCTGGGTTCGATTCCTCAGCACCACATAAGCAAAAAAAGAAAAAAGCCGGAAGTGGCACTGTGGCTCAAGTGGTAGAGCGCTAGCCTTGAGCTGAAGAGCTGAGGGACAGCGCCCAGGCCCAGAGTTCAGGCCCCACGAACGGACCCCCCCCCAAAAAAAAATAGGTGAAATATAAAGTTAAGACTGACATTTTCTAAAAGTGGCTGGGGCTGGGAGGAGGCGTATGTAACTCAGTGGTAGAGTAAACTGAGGCCTTCGGTTCAGGATTAAATAATTTTACTACTCAGTAACAAGACCTCCTACCCTTAAGTTTCTTGGAGTGACAAAGTAAAATCTATGGTTGATTAGCCAGGCACTTGTGGATAAGATTAAGCTGAGATGTGAGGATGGTGGCTAAAAGCCACAATAGGAAATTTAGCTATATTTATCTTCAGTTAAGCAGATTATGATTAAGTGTAGTGCTAACCTTGTAGCTATGATTAAGTGTAGTGCTAACCTTGAACGTTCAGATCAAGCAACCAGGTTGTGAATTGAAATTTTTTTGCGTTAGTATTTGGGCTTGAACTCAGGGTTAGGGTGGCTATACCTGAAAGCTTTGTTTTTTGGGGGGGGGGTCCGGTTGTGGGGCCTGAACTCTGGGCCTGCATGCCATCCCTCAGCTCTTCAGCTCAAGGCTAGATCTCTACCACTTGAGCCACAGCGCTGCTTCTGGCTTTTTTCTTTTTGCTTATGTGGTGCTGTGAGGAATCGAACCCACAGCCTCAGGCATGCAAGGCAAGCGCTCTACCACTGAGCCAACTTCCCAGCCCTATGCCTGAAAGCTTTTTAAATTGGATCATGATCCTCAGATCTCAGCTTCTTGAGTAGTTAAGACTAAAGGTGTGAGCCCTTAGGGTCTAGCTTAATCTGCTCTTGATCCCAGGAAATTAGCTTAAATGTAGAACACTGGTGAGTTGTGTTTTGAGAAAAGGTCTTGCTATATTATCTATGTTGACTTGCAATTTTAAGTTTTCTGCCTTTGCTTCCTAAGTCCTGGGTTTATAGGTATGTAATGCCATGTCCTGCTAGAGCATACGTAGTATAGAGCATATGTAGTATATTGTACTTAATCCCAGAAAAGTAGTTGAGCTAGGGGTTTTTAAATGATTTAAAAATGCTCAGACTTGGGCTGGGAAGTTGGCTCAGTGATAGAGTGCTTGCCTCGAATGCATGAGGCCCTGGGTTTGATTCCTCAGCACCACATAAGTAGAAAAAAGCCAGAAGTGGTGCTGTGGCTCAAGTGGTAGGGCACTAGCCTTGAGCTGAAGAGCTGAGGGACAGCACCCAGGCCCAGAGTTCAGCCTCCAAGGCAAAAAAAAAAAAAAATGCTCAGTTACTATGCGTAAGATATAAGGAAAATTTAGTATAAGGTGTGCCAAAGATACAATGAAAAACCAACAACCCCTTTTGAAATGACATTAGTGCCAACATTCCTTCATCCCTGTTTTATCCATCATTACTAGGATTAGAGGTTTTTTTTTTTATGGTGCATGTGGCAATTTAGACATTGTTCCTAAAGTGTTGGGGTAAAATATTTTGCTTAGAAAATTGCTAATGATGAGATTACTAGGGAAAATGGTTTCTGTTTAGATTTTGAGTAAGGAAAGCTTAACCAATTACAACGCCCAAAGGAATGCCAATTTGACTTTGAATAAGGAAAGCTTAACCAAAATGTTCAAATGAATGCTGAGATGTAGATGCCAAATTTTGTACATAGTGAAATGTCCTCTTGAAATGTCCCTTTAGAGTTAGGCTAATGGTCTAAAACAGAACTGGTAATTGATCAGGTATCCCAGAAGAGTGGAAATTAACAAAGCTTAGTTTTGCTGGGAAGAAAACTGACCACTTGGAGAGCATCTGTTACAATATTTATTGGTCAAAAAGATTGAGGATTGGAGAGCTTGATGCTTTCATGTAACTATTTTGCAAAAATGAGTTGGATATTTTCATAATTTAGGTTTTCTTCAATACTATTTGCGTTTGCTTCCATTCTAGTCCACTTAAATTTCAGTTTTTGCTGGGATTGAATATGGCCTTGAGCTGGCTGTGGAAGCCTACCAGCCACACTCTCAGCCCTTGGCTTATGTTGTTTTTAAGTTACCACAAGAGCTGGGTGCTGGTGGCACACACCTGTAATCCTAGCTACTCAGGAGGCTGAGAACTGAGGACTGCAGTTCAAAACCAACCCTGGCAAGTCATCTGAGATTGTCTCCAATTAACCATCAGAAAGCCAGAAGTGGAGCTGTGGCTCCAAGTGGTAGAGCACCAGCCTTGAGCAAAAGAGCCCAGGGATGGCGCCCAGGACCTGAGTTCAAGCCCCCAACTTAAAAAGAGGTTGCCACAAGAAAGCTGCTGCCGAGCATATGAGCAACCAGCCCCTGTACAGGTTGGGTTTGGGCTGCTTCTCTCACTGCCCTATTCTAATGGAGGAGTACATCTCCACCTAACTACTCCCAGTCCAGTTCAGTCTAAAAATCTGTGGACAGTAGCATTTAAATAGATGTTAGGTCTGACAGCTGTTATGGGGCCTTAACCCGCTATCAAGTTCTCACTTGTTCCCAGGCATAACAGAGAAACCTAAGAGTGCAACCCTAGGTGGAGAATTCTGCAGTAACTACAATCAAACTCCTTGGGCTAGAAAGCCTGGAGTTTTCCAGATTTAGCAAAACTGCCCGTGTGTGTATCAAGGACTGTATTAGCCCCTGGGCTTTTAAGGCCCAGTACATGTGCATTGAAGACTACATATGTGCTGTTTCATACTTGAGTTAAAAATCTTGGATAAGACTTAGTGCACATTGAGAAACCAAATTCAACTCTGCATGGCCTCATGTAAATACCCTTATTTACATCGGGTGTTAGATCACCTCGAGATTTTTTTTTTCTTTCAGTTGTGGGGCTTGAACTCTGGGCCTGGGCGTTGTCCTTCAGCTCTTCAGTTCAAGGCTAGTGCTCTACCACTTGAGCCACAGAACCACTTCCAGTTTCCTGAGTGGTTTAATGGAGATAAGAGTCTCACCACCTTTCCTGCCCCTGCTGACTTTTGAACCGAGATCCTCAGATTTCAGCCTCCAGAGTAGCTAGGATCATAGATAGGTGTGAGCCAACAAGCCTGGCTCTCCTCCAGTTGTAAGTAGAGGTAAATGTAAGTGTGGCTTAAAGGAAAGCTTACTCCTTCCTTTAGCATGCTGTAGCATTGTACTTTACATGTATACAGTCACTAATACATGCTGATCATTCCAGAACAATTCTGACCATCCCTTGGCTAGTTGGGAGGGCAGGTCTTAGTTAATGAACTGAACGGTTTATAACGGAGGCACTTACATTTTAAAACGCTTGTCCGCCGGAACCTACATTTCCAAGTAAAGGGGATTAGTTTGGGTCCAGAGCTCCCAACCGCCTGCTTTTGTATCAGGGGTCACAAAGTGAACCTAAAACCAGGACCCACCAACTTGGGGGAAGGCTCTCAGATGGGACAACAACAGGTCACCAGCGCCTGCACGTGGCCCTCCCGAGACCGTGGGAAAAGAGGAACCCCCGAGGGAAACTGCCAGGATGTAAGATGTCTGCTAAAAAGTCCTTGCGGATCTCCGAGGAAAGGTCTACTGGCTTCCAGAATGTCCGCCCGCAGTACTGACGTCACTCCATCGGCTTCCTCAAAGCCGAACGCCAGAACGCTCCAATCAGGAACTAGGCCCCGCCCCGTCCCGCGTCACTTCCGGTGGTGCAGCAGCCATTTTGTCAGTCGCCCGCGGATCCCGCGCGCTGGAGAAGTGCAGTTCCCCCTGGTAACTAACTCGTCGGTTCTTTCTCGGCGCTGCCGACGAGCGCGGTCGAAGAGCGCTCACCGAAGGCAGAGACGTTCCTCCGTACATGGTCGCTGCTGCCGTTGCACCCGCCCGGCGCTAGCGCCCTGTCTGCTTGCCGCGCCGCTTGACAGGCGCCCTCGGGGAGCCGCCGTTCGCGATGTCAAACGAGGAGAGCTACCGGGCCATCCTGCGCTACCTGACGAACGAGCGCGAGCCCTACGCGCCCGGCACCGAGGGCAATGTCAAGCGGAAGATCCGCAAGGCGGCCGCCTGCTACGTGGTGCGCGGCGGGACTTTGTATTACCAGCGGCGGCAGCGGCATCGCAAGACATTCGCGGAGCTGGAGGTGGTGCTGCAGCCCGAGCGACGCCAGGGCCTCATCGAGGCGGCGCACCTGGGCCCCGGCGGCACCCACCACACTCGACATCAGACCTGGCACGACTTGTCCAAGACGTACTGGTGGCGAGGTGAGACGCAGTCCGCGGCGAGGGGGCCGGGCGGGCGGCGGAGGGCCCGGGGAGGCCCCCTGGCGAGGCCTGCGTGCGCCCCTGGGACGGGCTGGAGGGGCTCCGGCGCCCATCGCCGGGCCCGCTAGCGATCGGCGGCGGAGCGCCTGCCAGGCGGAGCCGAGCGGGTCGGGAATGCGAATGGAGCCGCACTTCCTAACGGAAGGAGGCCGGGGCGGCTGGGGGCGGACTCTGGCCCGGGGTGGGGCCAAGGGGCTTCCCTGGGGGCCGGGCCTGCGGCGGGGCGGGTCCTTGGGGCCCCGCCTCCCGAGGCGGCCGATCCGCCCAAGGTGTCGCGCCCTGCCTCCGGGGCTCCCTCCAGCCCCGGCCAGCGAAAACTCTGGAACCACCCGGGGTTTGGTTTGGTTTGTTTGTTTGTTTTGGTGCGGGTTCAGTGGCTGGATCTCGGGACCCGGGCTGGGTCCCAGAGCTTTTTTGCTCCAGGCTAGCGCTCTTCCACGTGAGCCGCTGTTCCACTTTTAGCTGTTATAGTGGTTGGTCTCAAGGACTGAAATGTACTTATTACTTGACTTATGTAACCCTTCTGTACGTCACCTTCATAGTAACAGCAACAACAATAATCCGAGGGTCTCATGGACTTCCCTCCGCTGACTGGCTTCAAGCAGCTATCCTCGGATCCCAGCCTCCTAAATAGCTTGAATTACAGGCATTAGTCACCGGTGCCCAGGGAACCGCTTTAAGAACTGTACTGAGGCTTTTGGCCCCGAGAATACCTTTTTTCAGGGTGCACCGCTCTCAGTTTGAGGCTCTTTGCATCCACTCCCCTTTATATCTCAGATTCCATTACTAAGTCAGTAGGAAGCGGTAGTTGTGATATGGAAGCCATAAGACTAATTGTGTAAATTGTTGTCTTGGACCTCGGTTTTAGATTAACTGAATGTCTAGAGTTCTTCCACTAACTCTGTCAGGCGCCTTGGGAAATGTTAAGCCCTATATACATCCAGGAAAGATACTTATTTCTATGGTTTCTTTTTTCGACAACCAGGAAATAATATAGTTTATATCTGTAGTTTCTTGACTCCTTGGGAACCCGGATAAGAGAGGACAGGTGTCCTTGGCTTAACTGCTATCCTTCTTCACAAACTTGGTAAATGCTAAAACGGTACAGTTAGAATTAGTAACAGTTTACAGATACACATAAAAATAACGAATAGCTTTGTTAAGGGTTCTGTATCTTCATATGTTGCTTGGAGAAATTAATATATGAATAGTGTTTGCCTCATTTATGAATAAATTAGACTGTAGTACACTGATTTTAAGAAAATAATATATGAATAGTGGTTACCCCTTTTATTAATAAAGACTATAGTACTCTTTCAGCTTGGGCATCTTTTCTTCCCTGTTTGTGCCATTACTAGGGCTTGAATGCAAGGCCATGTGCTTGGCTTTTCCCTCCTAAAGTTAGTGCTCCACCGCTTGACTTGTAAAACCTCCACTTCAAGCTTTTTTTCTGGTTGGATTCTCATTGACTTTTCTGCTTAGACTCCCTTTGAAGAGCAATCCTCATGTTAGCCTCCTCAGTAGGTAGAATTTACAGATGTGAGCCACAAGAGCCCAGCTTTTTAATTTACATTTTTAACTCTTTCTCTCAAGAATATAGTGAAGTTGTTTTTGTTTTTGTTTTTGTCTCTGGTGGTGGCGCTTGAATTCTGGGTCTGGGCACTGTCCCTCAGCTCTTCAGCTCATGGCTAACACTACCACTTGAGCCACAATGCCACTTCTGGCTTTTTCTGTTTATGTGGTGCAGAGGAATCAAACCTAGGGCCTCATGCATGCAAGGCAAGCCCTCTACCACTGAGCCACCTTCCCAGCCCAAGAATATAGTGAAGTTTTGAAGAGGTTATGTTTTGTAGATTGAATACCACAGGTGATGTCACCAATTTGGAGTTTCACATGTGACTTAATATTATGAGCATCAGTTAAAACTTAGGTACACTAAAAATATTATATTACATTATCTCAAAATATGTACATAAACATAATGAATAAACACAAATGAATTTTATCTAGATTTGTCTTATCTCTAGTACTTCTCATTATGCATGTGTGAATATTCCAAAACTTGAAAAACAAAAATCAGAAATATTTGGATCCAAGCACTTCTGATAAAAGAAACTTATAGTAAACAGCCATCTAATAAAACAATTTTAGGCCGGGCGCTGGTGGCTCATGCCTGTAATCCTAGCTACTCAGGAGGCTGAGATCTGAGGATCACGGTTCAAAGCCAGCCCGGGCAGGAGAGACTGTGAGACTCCTATCTCCAATAAACCACCAGAAAACCGGAAGTGGAGCTGTAGCTCAAGTGGTAGAGCGCTTGCCTTGAGCTGAAGAGCTGAGGGACAGCGCCCAGGCCCAGAGTTCACGCCCCACGGCCGACCAAAATAAATAAATAAATAAATAAAACAATTTTAGGAAAAGTATTTTGCTGTAGAGTTTTATTTTGGCAGTTCTGAGGATTGAACTCATGATTCAGTGAGTTTGTGGCATTTATATCTGGATTACACTTATTGACTTCTAAGGCCTTTTAAGGAAGACAAGTTCTCTCCCCCCCCCCCCCCCCCTTTGGTCATGGAGCTTGAACTCTGGGCCTGTGAGTTATCCCTCAGCTTTTCAGCTCAAGGTGAGCACTCTACTGCTTGAGCCACAGCGCCACTTCCGGTTTTCTGGTGGTTTATTGAAGATAAGAGTCTCTCAGACTTTCCTGCCCGGGCTGGCTTTGAACTGGGATTCTCAGATCTCAGCCTCCTGAGTAGCTAGGATTACAGGCATGAGCCACTGATGCCCGGCTAGAAGACAAGATTTTTATGGTCTGTTAACACACATTTCTATGTATTCCCAACAAGGTTCTGTGATGGCCCTTTGGATGTCAAGTTGCTCATAAAAGGTTGTTTACTGAGCTTAGACTCAGGAAAAAAAGAAATAAATTATAGGCTAGGCTGAACATCCTTAATCCGATTGATTAATGATGTTATTTTAGGAGAAACACCAGAAGAGCACCTTGGCAGAAGATCTAACTAGTTTTGTCTAAAAGCAGTGGTTATGCCATCACAAAATATTCTGTTTTTTGGTGCTGTTATTTTTGGTGTAGATAGTAAGAGAAATTTCTGGAAAAAAAATTACATTCTCATTACAAGTTTTGGTTGTAGCCTGTTATAGGCTACAGAATTTCTCCCTCCTCCCCCATCTTCAAGTCAGGTTAAAGAATATCCATCTGAGGTGTTGTCTTGGGGCTTGAACTCAGGGCCTAGGTGCTGTCATTGAGTTGCTTTTTGCACAAGGCTACCAGTAGAGCCACAGCAGTACTTAAGCTTTTTCTGTTTATGTGGTACTGAGAAATCTTGAACCAGTGCAAGGCAGGCCCTCTACCACTAAGCTGCATTCCTAGCCCTCTTTGAGCATTTTGGTTGAAGAGTGCTCTACCACTTGAGCCATATTTCCATTTCTAGCTTATTTTCATATGTGTGTGTGTGTGTGTGTGTGTGTGTGTGTTTCAAACTCTGAGTTCCAGCCCTAATACTAGCACCAAAAGAGAGGAAAGGAGGGGGAAAATAGGGAGGAGAGAGAGACACAGAGACAGAGCACAAAGATCAAGGAACTGATGGGAAAATCTAAATACCTCTTAAAACTTGTGTCTTGACACACTAAACAATTCATGTTCCTTTGGCTAAATGAATTGCATGGTCTTATCTGAGGTCAAAAGAATGGAGAATCTTTTTTTGTTTTGCTTATGTGGTGCTGAGGAATCGAACCCAGGGCCTCAGGCATGCAAGGCAAGTGCTCTACCACTGAGCCACCTTCCCAGCCCTGGAGAATCTTTTGAGTATTTGTATGAATCTAAAGGCTATGGCTTACTATGTTCCCAGAGTATATTATAATGCAGGATCTTTGTCACATATGTGGTCCATATTTCACCAAAACATCATGCAGAGCCTGACCACCAAAGGTTTTATTTTATGGATACATTGTAACATGGAAGTGGGCAAGCCTATAAAATTGCCTTATAATGGGAGAAGTGAATAACTGAAAATCAACAAAAACCATGTATCACAGCATGAAAACAAACTGTTATTCATATACTTATAAATGTAAAAATATATCTTTTTAAAAAATATATCTTTTAGCCAGGCACTGGCAACTCATACCTGTAATCCTAATACTCAGGAGGCTGAAATATGAGGATCAGGGTTCGAAGCCAGCCTGGGCAGGAAAGTCCATGAAACTCATATATCAATTAATCACCAGAAAACTGAAAGTGGAGCTGTGACTCAAAATGGTAGAGCCTTGAGTGAAAGACCTCAAGGACAGTGCCTAGGTCCTGAGTTGAGTTCAAGCCCCATAACCAACAATAAATGAATACATAAAAATTAGTATCTTAAAAAAATTAGTATCTTACATTTTTAAGTATCTTTATATTTTCTACAGTCATAGGTGTGTTTACATAGAGTCACTTGAGCATACATTAATATACACAGATTAAATCTATTCTTTGTTTTCGAGTAGGAACAGTATTAACTTTATTTTTACTGCAGGTATATTAAAGCAAGTCAAAGATTATATCAAACAGTGTAGCAAATGCCAGGAGAAACTAGATCGCTCCCGTCCAATATCAGATGCTTCAGAAATGTTGGAAGAATTGGGACTAGACCTTGAATCTGGAGAAGAAAGTAATGAGTCAGAGGATGACCTGAGCAACTTTACTTCACCTCCAACTACAGCTCCTAAGTCTTCAAAAAAGAAGCCAGTATCCAAACATGAACTTGTATTTGTAAGTGACAATTTCCATTCAGCTTTAACTGTTTATTTGGTTGGTTTTTTTGGTGCTAGTCCTGGAGCTTGAACTCAGAGCCTAGGCACTGGTTCTGAGCTCCTTTTTTTTACTCAAGGCTAGCACTCTACCACTTGAGCTACAGTGCCATTTCGGGCTTTTTCTGTGATTAATTTGAGATAAGAGTTTCAGGGAGGGCTGGGAATGTGGCTTAGTGGTAGAGTGCTTGCCTTGCATGCATGAAGCCTTGGGTTCAATTCCTCAGTACCACATAAACAGATAAAGCCAGAAGTGGTGCTGTGGCTTAAGTGGTAGAGTGCTAGTCTCGAGCAAAAGAACTTTAGGGACAGTACCCAGGCCCTGAGTTTAAGCTCTAGGACTGGCCAAAAAAAAAAAAAAAAGTTTCATGGACTTGGCTACCTGGGCTGGCTTCGATCTGCGATCCTCAGATCTCAGCCTTCTGAGTAACTAGGATTACAGGTGTTAGCCACCCAGCACCCAGCTTAAGTTTCTTTTTATTACCTTATTTCCCTTGTTTTGTAATGAAATAGTGGTATTGGTAGACAATACTTTTCTGGAGTAGTACGTGGGTCAGGAAGTAAAATTACTCTGACTAGATTTTTAGCTACTTTTTTTTTTTTTGGGTCCGTTCATGAGGCCTGAACTCTGGGCCTGGGCGCTGTCCCTCAGCTCTTCAGCTCAAGGCTAGCACTTTACCACTTGAGCCACAGCACCACTTCTGGCTTTTTTCTTTTTGCTTATGTGGTGCTGAGGAATCGAACCCAGGGCCTCAGGCATGCAAGACAAGCGCTCTACCACTGAGCCAACTTCCCAGCCCTTTAGCTACTTTTTGATTACTTTGTGTTTTTGTTTATTGGTTTATGCTAGTTTTATATGTCATCAAATTTCTGACAGTAAAAAGAAATAGAAAATAGTGAGGCAAACATATTGTGCCTTATTTAAGCCAGTAGGTAAAAGAAAGAATAACAGATTATTTCTTCACTTGGAAAAAGGGAATAGATTTCCAGTTGATATCAAACTTTATTTTGACAGGTTGATACGAAAGGAGTGGTAAAGCGTTCTTCTCCAAAACATTGCCAGGCTGTCTTGAAACAGCTGAATGAGCAGAGACTTTCCAACCAGTTCTGTGATGTAACTTTATTAATTGAAGGAGAAGAGTACAAAGCACATAAGTCTGTTTTGTCAGCTAATAGTGAATATTTTCGAGATCTTTTTATTGAGAAAGGAGCTATTTCCAGTCACGAGGCTGTGGTGGATCTTTCTGGTAAGATTTTTTTTTTTTTTTAATCCTGCCGTTTGTTAATAAGTACACTCTAGAAGAGAGAGTTGTTTTCTAAACAGAATTTATGCTAATAGAGGCCCATATACAGAAGCCTACTACCTATTGAAAAGGGCCTTTTTAAAAAAAATTTAATTTTTAGGGCTGGGAATGTGGCTTAGTGGAAGAGTGTTTGCTTAGCATGCATGAAGCCTTGGGTTTGATTCCTCAGTATCATAAACAGAAAAGACCGGAAGTGGCGCTGTGGCTCAAGTGGTAGGGCACAATCCTTGAGCACAGAGAGGCTCAAGGACAGTGCCAGGCCCTGGGACATGGTTAACCTTATTTGCAATAACTAGTATATGTCTAGGACAAGCAGAAAAGGTCAAAAGTTATGTACATATGACCATATAAGATAATGCTAAGTGAAATGAACCCTAAGATAGGGACACATGAGGTTTTATCTTTCTTGCTTTTGTTTTTAATGTACTTATAATATTCTATGGGATTTTTTTTGTTTCTTTTGTATGTTCTTCCCCCATGGTATAAATATCCTGTTTTCACTGTATTTGATTCTGGGCTCTGCATCTTGTATATACATATTTCTGATTTGGGGAGGGGAAGGGAAATAACAAAATGCTGAAATAAGGATACAGGTTGATCCATTGTAACAATGAGATGTACAAGACACTATGTTGAAAATGAACTTTACAACTTTGGGGGGAAGGGTAGGTGGGGAGGAAAGGGATAGTAGGGGAAAAACAAAGGAGGGGGTAAAAATGCTCAATAGAAAATGTACTCATTAAAAAAAAAAAAAAAAAAAGAAAATGTACTCATTATTCATGTAACTGTAACCCCTCTGTATCTTTACAATAAAAATATATATTAAAAATCAATTTTATTATTATTGTTAAGGTATGTACAGGGGAGTTACCATTTCATAATTCAGGAAATGTGCACATTTCTTTTTTGGACAATGACACCCCTTCCTTCACTTTACCCTAGTTTCCCCTTCTTGTCCTTGCCTACAAGTTCCGTAGTTCATTGTCTACATATTGTATATTGAATACTGTGATTGTATTTGTTTATCCTTCCTTCCTCCCTTTCTGCACCCTTTTTTGTTCACCCCTACTCCCAAGAAGCAAAAACAGGGTCTTCTTAAGCATGGTTTCTAAGATAGAGCTATAGAAAACAGTTGTACTAGAAGTATTTCTGGGATTTGAACTTTTTGAGAGAAATCTACAAATGCATCGATATTACTATGCTAAGTGAATATGTTATTTAAAAATTACATATTTGGCTGAGTATTGGTAGCTCAAGTCTGTTACCCTAGCTACTTGGGAGGCTGAGAACAGGGGATCATGGTTTGGGGTTACCTGTGACAGAAGGGGTTTTAAGAATGTATCCCAATAGAAGAAACTGAGTGGCTATGGTGTCCCATGCAAGGACTAATGCATGGCCTGGTGGTAGAATAACTGCTTAGCAAGCATGAGCTTGAATCCAAACTTCAGTGGAGGAAAATGTCAGATAATTATTTTATTTTCCTCCTCTCTCCTGCTTTCTCCTTTTCCTACTAGGTGAATTTAGTGGCTTAGAATTATCAAGTGAAAATTTAGAAAATTAAAATAGATAAGCTCATTTATGCATACATGCTCTCATAATAGGAACTTACTGTGACTCACATTCTGACATTTTGTAAAATTTTATTTTCCCATTCTTGGAAGGTAAAGGGTGCTGATAGATTTTTTTTTTTTTTAGCGTAGTTAGTTGTAGGGCAGGGCTTATTGTTACAGTTAAAATTTATTAGGTAGGGCTGGGAAGGTGGTTCAGTGGTAGAATGCTTGCCTTGCATGCATGAGGCCCTGGGTTCAGTTCCTCAGCACCACATGCACAGAAAAAGCCAGGAATGGCGCGGTGGCTCAAGTGGTAGAGCGCTAGCCTTGAGCTGAAGAGCTGAGGGACAGCACCCAGGCCCAGAGTTCAGGCCCACAACTGACAAAAAAAAAAATTAGGTAATAGACCATAATACAGTATTTCATTGTTGTGTTTTGTTTATTTTTTATTTATTTTTATTTTATTTTGTATTTATTTTTTACCAATCCTGGAGATTGAACTCAGGGCCTGGGCACTGTCCCTGAGCTTCTTTTGCTCAAGGCCAGCACTCTACCACTTGAGCCACAGAACCACTTCTGGCTTTTCTGTTTATGTGGTACTGAGGAATCGAACCCAGGGCTTCATGCATGCTAAGCAAGCACTCCACCACTAGCCACATTCCCAACCCTATGTGGTTTATTTTTAAAAGGAGTATTCTTACGTTCAGTTTCTTGGTCTTAAAATTTGTGCCAGGATTAACATGGTTTCAGGCTGTTTGATTGTCAACTACTTAAGGGAAACTGGGGCCTGGGGATTGTCCTTTATTACCTAACTAGCCATGAGGATAATGTTGATCTCTTTCCTTGGTTTTTATCCTGATATGTAGTATATCTGTTTAATTCATCCATTTGTAAATCCTCTTATCTGTATATAAAAGTCTCACACTATATCCTTTGAGTCAAAACTAGAGAGCAAGAAATAAGAGATTATAAAAGCTTGCTTTGGTTGGGTCTCAGTGAAATGGGAAGTTAATTATATTAGAAAAGCTCAACACAGCTGGGAAGGTGGTTCAGTGGTAGAGTGCTTGCCTTGCATGCTTGAGGCCCTAGGTTCGATTCCTCAGCACCCATAAGCAAAAAAAAGCTGGAAGTGGTGGTGAGGCTCAAGTGGTAGAGTGTTAGCCTTGAGCTGAAGAGCTGAGGGGCAGCACCCAGGCTCAGAGTTCAGGCCCACAACCGGACCCCCAAAAAAAACAAAAAACAGAAAAAAGCTCAACACAGAACAGCATAAGGTGGAGGATAAGAATATTTCCTGGATTGTATAATAAAACTCTAGGAAAGTATACAGTTTTCCTTTTTGTTTTTTGGGGGTAGAAGGTAAGTGGGAATTAAACCCAGGGCCTTGAATACCTACTTTACCACTGCGGTACATATCTTGTTCTATGCAGTTTCTTTCCATCCTTCTCTCTTTTTCTTCCTTTCCTCTTCCTCCTGTTACTTTCTTTCTCTCTCTTCTCTCCTGTTTTCTCTCCCTCTCTCCTTCTACCCTCCCCCCCTCTTGCTTTCATATTCTGGTCCTAGGACTTGAACTTGGAGCCTTGGTAATGTCCCTTAGATTTTGTGCTCAAGGCTAATCTTCTACCACTTGAATTACTGCTTTCTGGTGGTTGACAAGAATTTCACTGACTTTTCTGCTTGGGCTGGTGTTGAACCATGATCCTCAGATCTCAACCTCATGTGTAGCTAGGATTACAGGCATGAGTCACCAGCACCCAGCTTCCTGTATCATTTCTTAGTTGTCTATTTGTGTTTTGTTTTGTTTTTTTGGTGGTCGTGGTGCCTGAACTCTGGGCCTTGGCGCTGTCCCTCAGCTCGTCAGCTCAAGGCTAGTGCTCTACCACTTGCCACAGCACCACTTCCAGCTTTTTCTGCTTATGTGATACTGAGGAATCGAACCCAGGGCCTCATGCTTGCGAGGCAAGCACTCTACCACTGAGCCACCTTTCCAGCCAGTTGTCTATTTGTAAAGGTAGTATAAGAATCATCACTGTTGTCGTGGGATTTTTTTCCTTTGTTTTTAAAAATTACATGATTACTAGGAATTAGAAATGGCTTTTGAAAGTAAAGCACTGAGAATATAGAAAAAGAAATAAACTGACTTTTTTATTTTACATAAAATTAGAATGCAATACCCCATAGATACGGTAATTTTATTCCTGGGATCTAGAATATGCAAACTATAGCCTAAGGGCCAATTCTCCCTACTCCCCCTTTTCACAAAGAAATTTGTACAGCCAGTTCCCATTGTGTATATCAGAGCTCAGAGCCGAGTAGTTGTGACAGGCACTTTGTGACCTGAAGTATTCATTATCTCATTCTATATAGAAAGAGTTAACTGACCCCTGCATTAAATCTTGTTTCTTAATGTTTAGTTGTAGAATACTCTGTTCAATTAAATGGACTACTGTAAATAGACAATATAGCTACACTTACTGAAGTGTGAGGTTGGTTGAACCCTGACTACTTACCAACCTCTCTAGAGGCAAGCACTCTACCACTGAGCCACCTTCCCAGCCCCTCCCTTGTTCTTTTTTACCCTCCAATCTCCAGCAGCTATTTCTTGAGGGCAATTTGAGGAATCCCCAGGGTTCTAAGGAATAAAGTTTGAAAAGGACTACCTTACAACAACTCGAAATAGTAAGTCTGATATTATTTTCTATATTAGGTATTGAGAGATTCAGCTCATAAAAGTGAGTTAGTCAACATTTGATAAGCAGCCAGAATAGAAAGCAAAATTCATGGGTAATTAATTATAGAATGAATGGCCATAATTGCCACTTCTTTTATCTTGTCGTAATTCTATATCAGTTGTTCCTATACAGTGTTTTTGTTATGACTAACTTTTTTGTCCCCTACCTTTCTTGTTTCATGCAGGTTTTTGTAAAGCAAGCTTCCTTCCTTTGCTAGAATTTGCCTATACTTCTGTACTGAGTTTTGACTTCTGTAGCATGGCTGATGTGGCTATCTTAGCTCGTCATCTCTTCATGTCAGAAGTTTTAGAAATTTGTGAAAGTGTGCATAAACTAATGGAAGAGAAGCAGCTAACAGTATATAAAAAGGGTGAAGTACAAACAGTTGCATCTACCCAAGACCTGCCACCACAGAATGGAAGTACAGCACCTCCTGGGGCTAGCAATGAAGGAACCACAAACACTGTATCTAGTGAACATGGAGGTTGTGAAATTGTACTACTAGTAAATGGAGAGTTGCCAGAAGCTGAGCAGAATGAAGAGGTAAGACAACAGCCTGAGGCCCAGGTTTCTTCAGAGGCTGAAGCTACTATATCATCTGCAGGAAGTATAGCTGACTCCCATCCTGAAATAGAATCTGTTGCTTTAGGGATGAAAAACGAGGCAGACCTAGAAGCTTCAAACATCAGAGATGACACAGTTTCTAATACAAATCCTATACTTTCGAAAGACAATGTAATCAGTAGCTCTCACGAGGACAGTGATATGGGAAATGATGTATCAGCTGAAGATAACTGTGCTGAAGACATTCCAAATGATACGCAAAACCTTGAGCAGCCTTTAAAAGATCATGAAAATCTAGTTGCATCAATGGCAAACCAAGACCTTGGCCCTGAGGATGACACTTACAGAAGTAGGCTTCGGCAGCGGTCTGTTAATGAAGGGGGATATATCCGACTACACAAGGGCATGGAAAAAAAGCTCCAGAAGCGGAAAGCTGTTCCTAAGTCAGCAGTCCAACAGGTATGATTTACAAAAGGTGGTCATTTGTAATTTCAGCTTTAGGTTGACAGCATCCTAGTGATGAACTTAGGTTTATGATAAAAATTATGGGATGGGTACAAGGCAGCAGTTTAATGTTTGAAGTACCAATATCACTACGATAGTAGGAATTTGAAGTATTTCATTAGAAGTTTATGACTTATGACATAAAAAAATGAAAATGTACAAACTTGAATTGTGTTTACTGTCTCTTAACAAGGTGGCCCAGAAATTAGTTCAAAGAGGGAAAATGATGAAACAACCAAAAAGGGACACCAAGGAGAACATTGAAGAAGCATCCCATAAATGTGGGGAATGTGGAATGGTTTTTCAGAGACGGTATGCTTTTATAATGCACACTCTGAAACATGAAAGAGCTAGAGATTACAAATGTCCGGTGAGTATCTGAAAACTAATAAATCAAGATTACTGTAAATTTAATGTATAGTATGCTGGTTGGTTTTTTCTCCCACTGTTGTCCTATTTCATTTCTCTGATATTGCTGTAAGAGTCATCTATTTCATACATGCCATTTCCTTGTACTCAGATATTCAGTGAATTACCTGTGCTTTCTTTTATACCCTGGTAAAACAACAGGAGAATGATCATTTTAAAAATACATATTTATAAGAGGGTACAGGAAATAGAAAGACCTAGACCCTGAACGCTAATAAGTGAAGTAAGTGATTGAGCAAATTTCTCAGGACTCATTTTGAGGTTTTTAGTTGAGAAAGCTACAAGTCAATCCAGTTGTATTGAAGAACTGCTAAATAGTTCAAGAATTGGTAGTAATACCAGTTACTTTGAAAGTCAAGATAATTGTTATTCCTTGACCAGAGATACTTTTCTCTCGTGAAAAGGTAAAACTATAACTTTTTTGAAGAGAACTATGTACAGTGAAGGTACACTATATAGAAAAAAATCTACAAAGATCAGATGTGGTAGTATAAGCTGTAATCCTAGCACTTGGGAGACTGAGGCAGGAGGATCTTGAGTTTGTAGCCAGCCTGATAACTTATTTCAAAAATCAAACCCCACAGGTATAATTTAAAAGATAAATGGAATAGAACAATTACATCTATGAAATAACCAGACAGAGTCAGTTGTCTGTATCTTTGGATTCTATACCCATGCATTCATCCAGTTGTGTGTTGAAAATATTTGTGAAAAAAGTAATTTTATATTGGATTTATACAGGCTTTTCTTTTTTCTTGTCATTATTCCCTACACAGGTCAGAAATACATCCATTTACTTATCAATTACATTTTATTAGGTGTTAATGTAGAAGCTGGGCACCAGTGGCTCACACCTGTAATCCTAGCTACTCAGGAGGCTGAGATCTGAGGATCAGGGTTCAAAGCCAGCCCAGGCAAGAAAGTCTGTGAGACTCTTTATCTCCAGTTACCATCAGAAAAGCAGATGTGGCGCTGTGGTTCAAGTGGTAGAGTACTTGCACTCGCCTTGAGCTGAAGAGCTGAGGGACAGAGCCCAAGCCCCAAGCTCAAGCCCCATGACCCAAAAAAAAAAAAAGAAAAGAAAAAAGTTAATTCTGGTAGAAAAAGTAGGTAATAGGTCAGGAAACCAGTTTTTTTTGTTACTTTTTTTTTTTTTAATCAGTCCTGGGACTTGAACTCAGGGACTGGGCTCTATCTCTGCACTTCTTTTTGCTCAAGGCTAGTGCTCTACCACGTGAGTCACAGTGCCACTTCTGGATTTTCTGAGTAGTTTATTGAAGATAAGAGTCTTATGGACTTTTCTGCTCAGGCTGGTTTCAAACCATAGTCCTCAGATTTCAGCCTCCTAAGTAGCCAGGATTACAGGCATGAACCACTAGTGCCTAGCTTACTACTTTCTAAAAATGAAATATTGTAGATGATGAACATAGATAACTGATGTCTAGAAGAATGAAAGCTTTCACAAATTTCCAGCAACTATAGTTTCCAAGGACCTTCACAGTCTTAACCTTTATGCTATCTCTAGCCCATACTTCTCCACCTAAAGCTCTTAGTAATGATACAGGGACTCTGTTTTGTGTCCTAGTCTTTATTTTGGTGGTGCTTAGGCCTCAGATATTGTTAGGCCACAGACATTGTTAGGCAGGCACTTTACCACTGACCTGCACTCCCAGATCCACTACTCACCACCACTGCTACTACTATTCTACTCAGACCATTCTTTCCTCATTGCTCTGATTACTCCCTCCTAAATAATTCACATTTTCTTCAGATAGGTCTTATTCTATAGTTATAAATCTCTTTAAAGGTAAAGAATTTTATCTTTTTCATTTTTATGATTGGACACCTCATAGTCATCTTTTACATAATATATGTGTTTGTTGATTATAATTATTGTAACCAGAATCACAAAGTTGAAATTGGGTCAGGTTTCACTTAATACTTTGTAATGGAAATATATTTAGATAGAATCTTGTTTACTTTTTCTTTTAGTTATGTAAAAAACAGTTTCAGTATAGTGCCTCGTTGCGTGCACATCTTATTCGACATACCAGAAAAGATGCTCCGAGTTCATCCTCCTCCAATTCCACATCTAACGAGGCATCAGGAACATCATCTGAGAAGGGCAGGACCAAACGCGAATTTATTTGTTCCATATGTGGAAGAACGCTACCTAAATTGTATTCTCTTCGAATACATATGTTAAAACATACAGGTGTAAAGCCACATGCATGCCAGGTAAAGCTGTAACATTGTATTCTATTCTAACATGCTATTTAAAGAAAGCATTAGTTGGTGTATATTTAGGAGTCACTCACTTTTATAAAATGTCAGAAAAATTTATATTCTCAGCTTTCTGCCTCTTTAAGGAGTGATTGCCTATTGTACTCTTTAATTTGTTTTCTCAGATCATAATTTGAAAGAAATCTATTTAGGATGTTAGTGAAATATGTTTCCAGAGGATTTACACAGTGAGAAAAGCCAATTTATTATCCTAATCATTATTCAGAAGAACAACCCTGTAATGGAAAAGAACCAGTCATTTAGATTTTGGTCAGAAAAGGTCGTGCCTAAGTTATACATTTGCCTCTGTTACTGAAAATGGAGGGTTACCAGATGTGGAAATATGACTGTTTCCTTGGTAAATTCTGTAATTAGCCAGCCTGGGGCCATTTGGAACAGTGACAAGTTTCTTTTTTTTTGTCGGTCATGGGGCCTGAGGTCTGGGCCTGAGTTCTGTCCTTCAGCTCAAGGCTAATACTCTACCACTTGAGCCACAGAGCCACTTCCAGCTTTTTCTGCTTATATGGTACTAAGGAATCAAACCCAGGGCCTCATGCATGCAAGGCAAGCACTCTACCACTGAGCCACCTTCCCAGCCCACAGTGACAAGTTTCTAGTAGCACTAGCTTGCATAGAATCATGAACACCGCTGTTACTCTTAAAACAGTTTTGGAACCAATGAAAGTTGTTTTTTTTAAGTCAGTCATGGGGCTTGAATACTGGGCCTCAGCTCTTCAGCTCAAGGCTAGTGCTATATCACATGAGCCACAGTGCCACTTCCAGTTTTCTGGTGTTTTTTTGTTTTTTGTTTTTTTTTTCCTGGTGGTTTATTGGAGATAAAAGTCTCACGGACTTTCCTGTCCAGCCTGGCTTTGAACCACAATCCTCAGATTTCAACCTCCTGGGTAGCTACCAATAACACTCATAGTATTTCTGTTTGAAGCTTTTTAGTGTGAGAGTAGAATATATAATGAATGGAATGAATCTTTTTAGCAGCTCATGGGCAAATTTTTTTGGGGGGGTTGGTCCTGAGGCTTGAACTCCTCAGCTCTTCAGCTCAAGGCTAGCGCTCTACCACTTGAGCCACAGTGCCACTTCTGGTCTGGTCTTTTCTGTTTATGTGGTGCTGAGGAATCGAACGCAGGGCCTCATGCATGCAAGGCAAGTACTCTACCGTTGAGTCACCTTCCCAGATCCAACAAATCTGTTTTATTTATTCTGTTATTCTGCTTTTACCCTGTTCATACTGATATTCATACTGTCATGCTGCTTTTTTCCCCCTACTATCACAATTATTGTGGAAGCCAAGTGATAAAAATCATTTATTCGGAGCTGGGAAGGTGGCTCAGTGGTAGAGCACTTGCCTTGCATGCCTGAGGCCCTGGGTTCGATTATCCTCAGCACCACATAAGCAAAAAGAAAAAAGCCGGAAGTGGCGCTGGGGCTCAAGTGGTAGAGCGCTAGCCTTGAGCTGAAGAGCTGAGGGACAGCGCCCAGGCCCAGAGTTCAGGCCCCACGACCGGACCCCCCCCCCAAAAAAAAAATCATTTATTCAAAAATTTAAGTGTTAGGGCTGGAAGGTGGCTCGGTGGTAGAGTGCTTGCCTTGCATGCATGAGGCCCTTGGTTCGATTCCTCAGCAACACATAAGCAGAAAAAGCCGGAAGTGGGGCTGAGGCTCAAGTGGTAGAGCGCTAGTTTACAGCTGAAGAGCTGAGGGACAGCACCCAGGCCCAGAGTTCAGGCCCCACAATCAACAAAAAAAAAGTTAAGTGCTAAGAAGTGGTTGGGCTTTTGTGTTCTATACAATATTCAAATGTGTAATCTATGGAAAATAAGTACAGAAATAGAAAGTATGCAAGTAAATTCTTACAGCTATTTGACATTGTTACAAAATTTTTATTTGATTGAGCAAAATACCTTCCTAGTAGATTGGGAAGGATAGATAACAACTCTTCACTACCATTTCAGAAGAACTATTCTATTTGATGTAGCAAGAATTGAGTAGAATGTTTTTTTTGTTTTTTTTTGTCGGTCGTGGGGCTTGAACTCTGGGCCTGGGCGCTGTCCCTCAGTTCTTCAGCTCAAGGCGAGCGCTCTACCACTTGAGCTACAGC